TAAACAAGCAGCTGCCAGCACAGGCATGTTTAACATATTTCAAGGCAAAGTGCCAACCTACAGGCTGTGTGTATGTGTGTGCGTGTGTGTGTGTGTGTGTGTGTTTAGTGTGTTTAGTGGGGAGAGATGGTTCCACACCTGGACCAGACAGACTGTAGCCAAAAGCATCCTTTTCTTTATCTGATTGTGGCATGTTTGTGGTGTAGCAGATGTAACACAGACCTGGGGAAGAATATGCAATCCCATCTCAATGCTGCCACAGGAAGTCTATGGAGACCATTGGAAAGCCACCCAGGAGCCAGCCTTCAACAACCAATCCATTGGTGGGTGGACATTCCCATTCCACAAATGATCATTGGGGACATGAACTCAAGATGCTCGGCAGGAGGCTTAGCTTGCAATGAGTTCTCACACAGACAGAACTCCTAAACAAACAGCTGGCATTTAGCCCAATAATCTGGTTTGGAGAGGAGAGGAAGATTAGGGGGTAATTGCACTAGCCAACCTAGGTCCTCATCCCTGCTCCTGTCAGCTCTGGTGCCCTGAGTGTGCTGCCTCACTGCTCCGAGCTTCATTCTCACCTGCAGTATCTCATGAATGTGGCTGCCATCATGGTTGAAATACAATAGGCAGCATCTAGATCTCAGCAAGCCTTTGATGAACAGTGCCAAACAGTCCAGGTTTCAGCAGGTGGTGGAGCTCCAGCTTTTACCAGGGAGGTTGCCAGCTGAGATGGCAGGTGGCAGGCTTCTTTCTCTCTCTGGCTGCCTCCTTACCTTATGTTTGATCTGTGGGGCTTGGGACAGCTGTAGAGGCTCGAAGAGGCAACAGACCCATGTAGTAATCAAACTGTTTGGTAAGAGGCAAGTGGAAGAAGGACTGTTGAGCAGGTCTTGTCCACTCAGTTGAGCATTGGGCTTGGTTGGGGACAGATCGGCAGCTGACAGTAGCAGCAGAGAGAGCACTGGGCAGGCAGATGGCACCCTATATTCCCACCTCCTAGGCTCATGGTGGCCTTGTGTGTATCACTCCCGGAGCAGCAAGGTCACAGAAAGCGGCTGTCGTGGAAATGGAAATGTGCTGGTGGAGCCAGGTGGGCAGATTGGCAGGGTCATGTGCCAGGAAGGTGAGATGGGTGCTCCTGGAACCAGATGCCTTGGCTGGCATGGCCCTTACAGCCTGTGCGCCAGCCTGACATCAGGATTGCCTCTGCCTTCCTCCCTACCTTCTAGCAGGACCCTTTTGCTCCGCAGCCTCAGCTCTGCAGCAAGCACTGTTCCCTCAGGCTCCTCTCTCTCCATGGAGTACCAGCTCCTGGGGCCTTGGCATGTGAGCATGTCCAGAGAGCTCAGCTTCCCCAGACAGTGGCACGAGTATGCGACCTCTGCTGGGCACTGGTGACAACCTGCTTCCTGTCCAGCTTCCATCCATATTTCATCTCTTTCTAAAGATGGCTACACACAGGACCACCACAATTCCCCCATTGAGGGTGTATGTGCTGTGGGTGGTCCAGCACAGGCGTGTGACACAGAGCAGCACCATGGCTTTGCATGGCCTACAGATGTGAATCTGAATCTTGACTCTTGCTGGCATGATCTGCACACTTTGTCCTTGCTGAAGATGCCTACCTAGAGTGTGGCCTTGAACAGATGTCAGGAGTGCCCTGTACCTCAGGGCTGCTACAGCGACGTATGCTGCTGGCGGCCTCCATGTGTGCTCCCATGGCAGAGCCCTTCCCTGGAGCCTGGTGACAACGTTTAGTGACTCATGTTCATGCTGTTGTGAGCATTTCATCACGGCTGGCATATCTCAGACTCGGAGGAGCAAGATGTTCAGAACTGGCCACGGTGTGGCCCCCTAGCAGGTGTCCTCCTGGTCAAGAGGGCTGGATTCCTGAGCCCTTTCCTGGAAGGGCGGGTGGGCGAGTAGAGGGGGTGGGGCTTGTACAGAGAGCCCTTATCTGTGTTTGTGGTCTCACTGCCAGGGTCTGCGGCCCTTAGAAAACCTGCGCTCAGCCAGGTCCTGCCTGGTAGAATACAAGGGGGCCCTGGTCGCTATGGAGACCCATCCTCCCACAGCCCACTAGGGAGCTGGAAATGACGTTCTGAACCAGGAGAAAATGAGCTTTCGTTGGTTCTTTAACAAACCAACTTGGAATGTTCTTTGTGTCTTTCTGGCATTTTAACTTTTCAATATAGAAAAGGAAATTATCTTCAAAATGATTGTGTGTGTGTGTATTCACTGGTTTGCTGTTCTTATAGCTAATTACCCAGACACCAACATCATTTAGGTGTTCCAAAGTTGAGGTCCTTTTCAGCTTTAGGCCAAAGCACCCTTTGCAGAACAGCAGAGAGCTCCAATGCAGAGCACGGAGAGGCCGCTCCAGCCCCATCTGACTGTCACTCTTGGAACCTCTGTGTCCTCATCTCTGCACCGTGGGCAGTGATGACAGCTCATCCTCCTGTCGTTGCTGCAAGGATTAAATAACGTGCGAGGGTGATAGCCTTCGGATGTGTTCTGCAAACCCCAGCATGCTAGGAGGCTATTCGTTAAATACTTCACTTTCTGTGTTGGTCCTTCAGTTCGCTTCTGGCCTCTAGGCCAGAATATCAGGCTCCTGGGAGGTTGTACCAAGGGGATACCAGGCATCGAGCTGCCTGAGCCGACACTTCTCACAGAACCTGCCACAGCCTCCATGAGGTCAACCAAGCAACCCACAAAAGTGCAGCTACCTTCAGCTCAGATGAGGCACCCCTCAGGAACTCAAAGCTGCTTTTTATATATTTTTAAAGATTTGCTTACTTTTATTGGAAAGGCAGACTTGCAGAAAGAAGGAGAGACACAGAGAAAGATCTTTCATCTGCTGGCCCATTCCTCAAATGGCCACAATGGCGAAAACTGAGCTAATCAAGAGCCTATTTCTGGCAGTGCAGAGACAGGGAGGGCCTTGTCTTGGGAGTGGGGAAGGCATTCAGGGGAGCCCCTCACTCTCAGGTCATATGTCAGATATATAAAGAAGGTGCAGAGCCAGCCTTGAGGTATGCAGACCACAGGACAAGGATGTGGGCAGCATCTGCATCCTGCTTCCTTCTCAGGGGGCACGCCTTGTCCTGTGTCCTGCTTGCTGCAGCTGCGATGCCTAAAGCTCAGTTGCAGACTTGTTTCCAGCCCCTGCTGAGCAGGGCTAGGGTCTTGAGAGACTCACGCAAACCCCCACAGCATCATTAATAACAAGTTTACTGGAGATTTGCAGCACGCTCCAGTTTCAACGTGGATGACCTTGATCCCCAAGGTGCTACCACTAAGACACAGCTGGAGAAAGCTGCCCATCAACTGCTCACTAGCGCTGTTTGTGGAAATGCAAAGAATGAATCTCCCCCAGCCCCAGCTCCCCCTCTCCTGGGGCCTCATTGGCGCTCTGAGAAGGGAAATAACCAGGCATGTTCAAGGGGGACGCTGCCATTTCCCCGGGGAAAATCTCCTTGCACTAGTTGAGGTGGGGATGTCTGAGGTCAGGGCCTGGGGTGGCTAAGAGGACACAGGCCACTGGCAGAGGAGGAAGCACCTGCCAGAGGTGGAGGGGGCTGTGAAGGCTCTGAAGCCAGCATCTGCTTAAAGGGTAGAGAGCCACGAACCTGCACTCCTGTCCAGGGATGCTGAGTCCCAAGCTCCTTGGAGTTCTGGCAGCCTCCCCGCTCCCCCAGTCGTGCCAGTGGCAGTCTGCCTCCCCTCCCCCACATATTCGGAAAGATTTCTGCCATGTTTTTATCATTTAGGTCCTCAATAAGCTTGAACTTGCCTCCTCATCAGACCCAGCACAGACAGCCATCGGGGATTTCTGGGTTGAGAGACACCAACTGAGACTAGGCTGGGCATACTGAATACCAGCCCCTCCCAGTCTCTGGTCCCGGATCTGAGGCTGGCAGTGGACAGGCCAGGGCATCCCGCTGGGAGCACCAAATCAGAGGAAGATCTCTCCTGGCAGAGATGCCCAAGGATGGTACAGCCAGCTCCAGGGTCCTTCCAGCCCATTCATGGATGTTGCTGCCAAGAGGGTACCGAAGTGCCCTGGGGACAGTCTGGAGAGGTCCCTGGGAACACCTGGCCTCTGCATTGGGCCATGCAAGGACCCTGCCTGAGTTCCCCCAGCTCAGTCCAGAATGGTGGGTCATCTGCCTTGGGAAGCTCAGTGGAGGAGCAGAAAAAAGTGGCCTGGACCCTCCATGTCAGGGTCCGGCTCCACTGGGTGTTCAGGCTGGGACAGGAGGCACTCAGATAACCAAGGGGCCTGTGCATGCCCCCTTTCTTTCAAAGACTTTCCCCCACTTGGCTGCTCTTTGCCACGCATGGGGGACGGGGATCATATAGTCGGGGAGGGGATGCCAGAGTGAGCCAATCACTCTGCAGCAAAACCTTCAGGGTTGGTGTGTGTGTGTGTGTGTGTGTGCGTCCGCGCGCGTGTACAGGAATCAGCAGGGATTTCTGTATTAAAAGCAGCCAGATTCCAAGAGAGACAGAGAAAGAGAGAGCAGGAGGGGGAAGAAGCAAAAGGGAGGGGGGAAATTGGAGGTGGAAGAAACAGATTGGAGAGAATAGCAGAGAGAGGGAGGGAGGGAGAGAAAGAGAGGGGAGAGAGGTGGAGGCGAGAGAAGAAAGGGAGAGAAGAAAGGGAGAGTGAGCAGAGAGGGAGGCAGAAAGGAAGCAAGAGAACAGAAGCGTGCTTGGAAAAGAGAGCTTGGAGAGATGGTGTGAGGCGGCAGCCTGCGAAGGTAGGGCAGGGTCGGGAGCGCTCACAATCCTGCTCCAAGGGCGCCCAGGGCTCCGGTGCAGCGGCTCGCCCAGGCAAGAGGCGATTCGCAGATCCACGCGCCCAGGTGCCTTCCTCCGGCGGTGGCGCGGAGACTCGGGTGGCTGCTCAGCAAGTAGCGCGGGGTGACGGCTGGCTACCTCGGAGGTTGGCGCCGGGTTTTGGATTTGCTGCAAGCTCGGGACGCCTGCCCCAGGAGTTGGTGCGGGGATCCGGCGTGGCTGCGCGCTCCTCGGGGAGTCATGGCAGCCGGGGCTGGGGGTCGCCGGGTGGCGGCGCGGCGGAGGGGCTGAGCCGGTCGGGTCGCGGGCTGCGCCATGGAGGCGCCGGGTTGCGGACCCTGAGCGCCGGTGGTGGGCGCGCACCATGAACTCGTGGGACGCGGGGCTGGCAGGGCTGCTGGCGGCCACGATGGGCGTTTCACTGTTGTCCAACGCGCTGGTGCTGCTCTGCCTCCTGCACAGCGCCGACATCCGCCGCCAGGCCCCTGCGCTCTTCACCCTGAACCTCACGTGCGGCAACCTGCTGTGCACCGTGGTCAACATGCCTCTCACGCTGGCTGGCGTCGTGGCGCAGCGGCAGCCGGCCGGCGACCGCCTGTGCCGCCTGGCCGCCTTTCTGGACACCTTCCTGGCCGCCAACTCCATGCTCAGCATGGCCGCGCTTAGCATCGACCGCTGGGTGGCCGTGGTCTTTCCGCTGAGCTACCGTGCCAAGATGCGCCTCCGCGACGCGGCGCTCATGGTGGCCTACACGTGGCTGCATGCGCTCAGCTTCCCTGCTGCCGCGCTCGCCCTGTCCTGGCTTGGCTTCCACCAGCTGTATGCGTCGTGCACGCTGTGCAGCCGGCGCCCAGACGAGCGCCTGCGCTTCGCCGTCTTCACCAGCACCTTCCACGCGCTCAGCTTCCTGCTCTCCTTCGTTGTGCTCTGCTTCACGTACCTCAAGGTGCTCAAGGTTGCCCGCTTCCACTGCAAGCGCATCGACGTGATCACCATGCAGACGCTCGTGCTGCTCGTGGACATCCACCCCAGGTGAGGGGACGTCGGGCACGCGGTGTCCGGACAGGGCTACAGGGAACTCCGTGAGTAGGAGACCCCTTATCTCCATCCGCCCCACTCCTCTCCGGGCTCCATTTTCTCCTCACAAAACATGGGTGGGGAGGGTTGCCCGTGCTCCCGACTTCAACAGGTGCTTAGAGCATCAGCCAAGCAGGGCTGCGAAAATGCAGGTAGGAGGAATCAGTCAGAACTTCGCTGGGTTTCTTGAATGCCTTGTGTGTGCTTATCATTTTTACTTTAACTGGCATGTGCGAAGGCGAAGGGTTTGAATCCGGCCCTAGAGGTGGGGCCAGATGCTTGGGAAACCCCAGCAGAGATGGGAAACCAGTCTATGGTGCTGACACAGCTCTCCTCTCCCTGGTGCCAGGGTTGCCTCCGTCCCCACCCTTGTATGCCTGTGAGTCCTCCTTGGATGAAACTTGGACGCATCATCCCAGCCCCGTGAGTCTGGAGGGGACAAGGCACTTTGTGCCTTCCCCAGAGAGCACTGTCCAGTGTCTCCCAGATGTGCGGCTCAGGAATTCCCCTCCCTCCACCGAAGGAGTGTCCCCAAGATCCAGGAACGCAGTTGCTCTTCCACATCCCTGCCACTCTGGCTGCCATTTGTTTGGAAAGCAGGTGGAGACAGGCAAGCAGAACACCTGCTTGGGAGCCCTGTCATTCCCAGGAGTCTTCAGCGGGAGGGGGCATTCTCTCCCGAGCTGTCCTGAGCTCACCTGAGCTCTTCTCAGGAGACCAGCAGAGGGACTGGGACTGCAACTGGCAGTGTCTTTGCAAGGTCTGTTGCTTTTTTTTTACCTCCAGGTATTGCAGCTCCCCAGCTGCTGCCTAGGACCCTGGGGAAAGGGGGCTTGAACATGAGATGGTACAGAAAGCGAGGCAGGCAGAGAGCGCAGATGTGGGATCTGAGAGCAGATGCCTGGGAGTCTAGGGGACCTGTTGGAGGCAGGAGGGCACTGTCCCCAGGGTGCACATGATCCTCTCTAGAGCTGCTGGAGACAGGCCAGAGGCGTCCACCTGAGCAGCGGCTCCTGGCCAAGCTCTTCCTGCCCATGGGCAGTTGCAAGCAATCCCAAACTTCTTGGTGTCTGCACATGAAAGGACATGAATGCACGTGTTCCTCATTGCCCTCTGAGCATCCATGCCTGGGTAATTGCTTGGGCCAGCCTCTTGCCCCAGTCACAGCCAAAAGGTGCACACATCTGCTCTCGCTGCCCGAGTTCATCCCTGTTCCATGTCACCTGGGTAAGGCTCTGCAGCCACAGCTGCTAGCAGTCCCCCTTCTGTCGTGAGTGGCAGGGTTGGGCTGTGGGGAGCTTGTTTCAGAAGCTGCATTCCCTAGGGCTTGGGCTGGGGCTGCTTTGGAAGATGCCACTGAACTCCTGGGAACGCAGGGTTCCTAGAGAGGCACTGTGCAAGGAGTGCCTGGCGGAGGAGGCAGTGAGCTGGAAATGAATCCATGCTTATTCAGATCAGCACAAACCCCATCCCCACCCATTCTACAAGGCCCCAAACAGGAAGAGAGAGACTCCTTTCCAGTCCCGGTGATGTGCAGTCAGCTCTGCTCTTTCCAATTGTTCAGGTCAGTCTCTGCGGACACAGAAAGAGGCCTGGGTTGCAGAGGGAAGCTGCCTCCTCTGGGCTGTTCTCAGCCACCCCTACTCCCAGCACCCCAGCATCCTGGAGGATCCCAAGGAAGAGCGGGTTTCATTGGATAGTTGTAGTGCTTAAGAGTAGAGATTTCTCTGGCCAGTCACACAGGTCACTGCCCGCCCCGCTCCCCTCCTCACCTCTCTGAGATTACAGGAGCAATTAGGACAGAACTACCCTCCAACTAGTCCTTATCCCTGAATGAGGGACTAGGGAGGGGTGACCCATCAGGAGACTGCCATTCCACAGGGGAGCCCCTCACAGCCAGTCTGTCAGCTTCTGTCTGAGCTCCACAATCTCTCTCTGCACAAATGAGAAGCTGCACGGCTAGCTGGAGGCTGTGCTGAGCCTCCTGGGCTGGTATGGTGCTCTGAGTCTGCAGGGTTCAGGGATGCTAGGCATCCTCCTCTGAGCGGCCAGCACAGCAGGTGGAATCTGTGGTCCACGGAAGTCCTGATGGCCTTCTAGGCCTGACTCGAAGGGGGCTTGTTTCTGGTCCTCTGAGGTGCATTGTAGTACTTGTCAGGATGTGTGCTATTGGTGTCTGACTTCCTGCAGGAAGCATGACACTGCCCCACCAGCCTCACCCACCATCCAAGCATCAGAGACCCTCCCTTCTGCTGTTCTGTGGGTGGTTTCTTAGAAAGCAGTTGGCAGTTCCTAATGTTCATTATGCACCTGCCCTCTGTCTGCTCAAGATGCACTGTTCTGTTTCTCAAACCACAGCTTCAGGCTACCTATGCCCAAGGCCTCTGTCTGGTGCTCCCAGGCATGTATAACCACGTGGGACCTGCACGGGTGCAAGTGGCTGGTTCTTCCCAGTCTGGCTGAGCATCAGCTGTGGTTGACAGTTTCTCAGAATCAGCATGTTGCTGATGGAGACTCAACAGGGAAATGCCCAGAGCCTTGTTTGGCCGCAAAAATCTGCTGGCCTTCCTATGTTTCCTGAACACCTTGGGGACCAGTCTGTAGAGGCTGGCTGAGTGCTGACCCTAGAATATGGCAGAGTGCTGGCGTGGGCAAACAGAACCCAACTGTGCCCTGAGGAAATTGGGAGACCCAGGAAGGGAACCCCTGGCCACAACTCAGGTCTTCCCTTCTGAGTTGAAGATGAATCCACACAAACTGTATATAGACTGAGAAGTTCCTCATTAAGCCCACAAACTTGCAAGTGACATCTGTTCTAGCCTCCTACCTTGACAAGTATGCGTTTCTTTGTAATAACCTGAAAGGCTGGGTTCAAGTTTACAGTGCTTAGGCTCCATTGAGGGAGGACTCATGCATGCTGAGGACAGCTGAGTGGCTCACCTGGCCCACCTCCCATCCAAGGCCCCACCCAGTACTGCATGGGATTCCACACACCAAGCAGATGCTCAGTGCAGGTTGTTGGTCCATGCACCTTGCACAAGTGCATAATGCACATTATCCAACCATGTACCATCACAGGTATTCTTACAAATGGTATCCCTCAGGCCTTGAGCCCAGCATAAAGGTGCATGGTTCACCCTCAAGGCGATGGAACCAGAGGAGGTGTCTGTATGAATCTGGAAAGCAAGATCAGGGTAATTGGATAAGGAGTCCTTCATACCAGATTCTTAGAATTTGGTAGGGAATGAAAGGGTTAGGCTCTGAGTGGACAGTCTCCTTAGCTTATGGGGAGAAATGTGGGTCCCCTACCATGCAGAGTCCAGGGAAGGTACCTTGTATATGGATATGAGGGCAGAACAGTACACACCAGTGTGCTAACCACACCATTCATCAGTTCATCCCTTGCCTTAAAAGCTAGAACACTCTGGGTCCATTATTGAGTGTTCATAGAGTAGACTCTGGTAGACCACAACTATTATGGATCTTTCAGGACCCAGGCTCAGTATAAGGGCAGGGAGGCACCTGCAGCTGTAAGATGTTAGCTGAGATAGTCCAGAGCTTCCCACCCCCTTTGTCTTATCACTGAAACATAACAGGGTGCAACTCTTTGCACACTCCCATGTCACAATACCAGCCAGCCTGTCTCCTTTGATCTCAAGAAAACTCAGGACACCCACCGTCACCCCATCCTGACTCCCATGCTCTCACCCTGGTTGGAGGTCCATGGCCAGGTAACTTCGGGGGAGCTGTGAGCCTCTGGCCTTCTGTGCCACAGATCCTACCTGAGATTCCAAGTGCCATCACCGCGGTGGGAGTGCTCCCTACTCATCGGTCATAAGAGATTGTGAACACTTGAGTCAGGAGCCCTGGGAAAGGACCTGGTCTGTCCTGAACTTGCCATGCCACCTTGAGTATGTCCACTTCTTCAGATGAACCAGAGAACAAGATTGCCAGGAGCTTAGCTCTGCTCCCGGGAGAGCTGATAGACCAGGGAGCTAATAGGCCAGGGTAAAGCCAGTGTGTCGCCTTGTTCCAGGCAACAGTGAGCTACTCTCATGTTGTGCGTAGGCTAGAGGGGCGATGAGCGGAGGACAGGCTGCTTCCCCCTATGAGTCCAGAGACTGCCCTGCCTTCTTCAGTCCTGCTCCCTGTCTTATCTCACCTGGGAAACAGGAAATCCTCTGGCCAGGAAGATGGAGTCATTCTCTTCTCTCCCAGAGTTCAGGGTAGGAGAGCTGTGGTACCCAGCTTGGAGCTGTGCCGGAAGCCAAGGGTGGCTTCCAGCCCTGTCCACACTGCAGTCCAAGATGGCCTTCATTGAGCTGCAGTTCCTCCATCTGAGAGCTGGGGTGGAGGAGGGGGCAGAGGAGAACAGCTCTACTCCTATAGATGGCCATGGCATCCAGTGGGTCCAGCTGCTCAATACTGGGTCCATGTGGGTGCTGATTCCAAGCAGGCACGAAACCTTCCCTGTGGATACCGTCAGTGCCCCCTCAGCATGTCAGCTGCCCACGGAGGTCCAGAGAAGGCTGCTGAGTCAACCGGAATAGCAGAACTTTGGCTGAGGCCTCACGGATCCTGGCTTGTTCTTCCTGGAACATTCCTTCCTAAGTGGGTTGGGGCAGGAAGAGAGTGTTTGCAGATGGGACGAGCCCATGATCTTGGAGTTCAAGGTAGTACTGAGGTGCTGTGGTTTCAACAGGACAGTTGGGAGCTGTCCTTGGTACTGTTCATGTGTTAACTAGGGAGCAAAAGTACAATATACTCATCAGGCCCCTTTAGGAGATGAAGAGGCTGACACACAGAGAGACCATGTAACATAGCCAAGGTCACACAGCAATTAAGCATCACTGCCTGTCTGGCTTTTGTGCACCGCCCTTTACCACTAAGCTGCTCACTTAGGTGGGAGCCTGGGCTGAAGGAAGAGTTCTGTGGCCTGATGTCCATTATAATCTTGCTTCCTCTCAGAGGCTCAAGGTCTTAAAAATAAAAAAAAAAAATTTTTTTAAAGCATGATTTAGATGGGTTTCTCACTCACTGACTCTCCTCTGAAATAATGGAGGCTTCATTTTCCCAAGCTGCTTTCGAGGCACTTTGTGGTCGTTCACATGGCACAGTTCCCTGGGGTTTTCTGGGGCTGACACTGATGGCCGAGAACTCAGCACACCAAGAAGCTTGAGTGTGTGCAGAAGGCTTGCTCTCCACCTCTTCCCACTGCACAAAGCCCTACGCAATGACAGTGCAGCCTGCTAGGTCTGCACTGCGTGGGACAGGGGCCATGGCCCTCTGGGCTGTCCAGTGTCCTGGTCATCCTTTCTGAGCCAGATGTTTTGGTCTGCCCGCCATCGTTCTGTCACCTGCACCTCTTCTTAAATATTTCTCAAAAGAGGAAAGGGGGATATGAGTGGCTGGGGGTGGTGGGGCACCTATGTTCTCACACTTTCTGCTGAGATCCCAGTCCGTATTGGGGTTGGGCAGGAGCGGCTCCTGAGGAGCTCCTGCCTGCTCAGGGTCCCAGTGAGTGCTGGGACATATCCAACCCTTCATGGTGCAGAAAGATTGAACGACATCCCCAAGACCGTACTGCTAAGAGGACAGACCTGGTATTAGCACAATGGACCCGACACGACTTGGCATGATAAGGACCAAAGACTGGAGGAGGGCTCAGCCGTTGTCTCTCTGGTTCCCCTGATGGGCTGTGTTTATGAATTTGGGGCTTGGGCCATTTTGCTCCGCTCAGAGCACCTGGCTCATGACCCAAACCTCTAGAACGTCTTGCATTGGCTGAACTGGAAATCCACAAGGAAGTGTCCTCAGGCTCCCAGGCTATGTGACTTTGATTTCAATCCCAGGACAGTCAGAGTGTTGCTGTGTGTGTCATGAATTAGCCTATGGCTTGGGGCATTGCATCCCTCCTTGTATCATCCGATTTAAGTCCTATGCTCCCAAGCCAGCTTTCTGCTAATGTACCTGGGAGATAGCGGAATATGGTCCAAGTAGCTGATGCAATGCCACTCACCTAGGAAACCTGGAAGGATTCCTGGCCTCACACCTGGTCCAATCCTAGCAGGTGCAGCCATGCAGACAGTGAATCAGTGGATGGAAGATTCTCTCACAACTTCATCTCTCAAGTAACTGTTTTAAGAAAAACGCAGGACAGTTAGGTTGGTCTTCTCTCTATACCAAGAACTCTGGGTGTGAGCTTTGTCTTTCTTCCTCCCACCTTCAGCCTGCATATCACAGGAGCAAGAGGGCTTGAGTAGAACATTCTGTAGGAACCCAGTGACAACTGTTGTTGTGCAACTGTGGGCCCCTGGTTATACTCCCTGGCACCTCCTCAGAGTGTGTGACAACATAGCTAGTTGGGAGGGAATACACAGGACCCACACGGCCTGGTCCTGCCCGTCACTTACCATGAATGGCCATCATCCTGGTTTGCCTAGTATGCAGAGGGGTTCTCAGAAGTGGGACTGTTTAAGCACCCAGGAAGTCCTCTGTAAGCCCCCAGGAAGCGGAACTTCCAGTTCCAAATACGCTGGGACAAACAGTTCACACACCTGCCGCCTCAATCTTCTTTGAAAAGTGGGGCCCACAGGTGTCAGTCCCTAGCTCATACAGATGCAAGGATGGACCAACCAAATGCATGTACCCCATTGCAGTTACATGTTACAGACCCCATCACATGTTACAGACCCAAGAAATGTGGGCTAGGGTTCAGGTTAGTCATCAGTAATTAATCAGAGGTATTAGTGGTAATAAATTCTCAGCCAGTAGGAAACCTGTTTGTACTGAGATTGACTCCAATTTTCAACTCTCCAAATTCCTGGAAAGACAAAAGCCAACAGGGAAAAGTCCTGCTGGAGTCTCAGGCGACTTCCATCCAAATGTATCTGGAATTGTCCATCTGCGACAGGCAGTGTGATGAAGGAATGTTGCAATTGGATGTTAGAATGATGCTTCTCCCGGAAGGAGGGGGAGGCTGCCCTGGCGCCGCCGATGCACGTGGCTTTGGCTCGTGCGTTTGTTCTCTGCCACTTGCTTTCGTCGAACAGCTCGGCCTATTTCCTGAGCCAGGCCCCTACAGCCCCAGCCTATCTCTGCCAAGTAATTTCCATTTCCCGGACAACTATATGCAGCATTCCTTCCTGTTTCTGGAGTCACACAGATGATGAGAAACACAAACGGTAATGGTGCATGCCCACACTGGGCTCCATGAGATGGAACATGGGAAGCCCTGCAGCTGGGCTGGCCTGGGGCACTGCCCATGCACTTTCCGTCACTGCATGCACAGACCCACCACTCTCACTGGCACTGAGGTGTCAGCTGTGCAAGTCCCAAAGGAACAGGGACTCTGCAAGACCAGGGTGCACGTAGAGATGTGGGTGACTCTGCTTCCCATTGTCAGAGCTGTGTCCCCCGTTCCACAGCACCTGGAGGACCCTTCATCCGCCAAGCTTGGCCTCTGCAGGAGTCACGTGTCCTCCTCCAGAGGGGCCCCATGATATCGAGTCTGTAGCTCGAAGCAGGGGTGAGCTTTGGGGATGGAAGAAAAGAGGCAGCAGATGTAGAGGAAATGAGGTTTCATGACACACATGGAGTTCCAGCTTTGAGTGACAGGGCATGGGTTTACATCCTGCCTCTGCTGAGCAGCTGAGAGAATCCTGTGGCCTCGCCAGGCTCACGGTCTTCATTGTAACACTGGGCAGGAGAAATGCACCTGGCAGGGTTGGTGATGGCAAAGAAGAGAATTAGAGGCACAAACTGGAGAGTGTCATGTCCCAGGGACTGGTGCAAAGCAGGCTGTCAGCCGAAGATCCAAGTAGTGCTGGAAGTGAGTAGGGTTTTTTGGTACCCAAGCCCTGAGCTGAGCCCTTGGTGTAGCTCATACACTGAATGTGTTTCACACATTTCAGCACTTTATGCGTCAGGCTCTCAAGAGCCCTTCGTGCCACTTTATTATAGCACAGACAAAATAATAAAGTCAACGTGTGAAACAGCTGCAGTGTGTTTTATGGTACCAGCATGACCTTGAGTCTTAGTGGAGTCTGACAGCTGGTTCACGGTCAGACAGCTACACCCAAGATGCACCTCTGGGGTCTCTGTGGGCCCACGGGCCAGCACCTGCACCAGTGGCACCTGCCTGTGCTGTGCAGGATGCCTGGTCCATCCTGGCCAGACTGCCACCTGACTCAGTGCCCTCTCTCACATGCAGTGTGCGGGAACGCTGTCTGGAGGAACAGAAGCGGAGGCGGCAGCGAGCCACCAAGAAGATCAGCACCTTCATAGGGACCTTCCTCGTGTGTTTTGCCCCTTACGTCATCACCAGGTGAGCAGGGGGCTTGGGAGGGCAAGGCAGGGTACCACGGGGACCTTGATCCCTTGGCAGCCTCTCCTGGCCACGGTGGGGAGGACGGGAATGTGGGAGGTCAGGCAGCCATGAGAGTCCAGGTGTAGTGAGGGAGTACTGAGCACATCTCCTGTTCAGCCTTGAGTTTTCCAGGGTTAGACTCAGTAAAAGATGCCCTGCCCATTGAACTCCAAGTCCCACTTTTCTCATGCTCCTGGGGGCAGGAGGCCCTAACTGGGAGAAAAGGGGAATCAGAGCTACAAAATAGCAGCCTGCAGTGCGTGGCTGCCTACTGCTCACTGGGTGCAGTGCCACTCAGCAGCCTAGGCCTCCCACCATTGGGGCTGGGCACGTGCGCAGGGGAAGACACAGGGGTCTCTGCTGTTGGCAGGCCAGGTGCAGAGAAAGCGAGCCCTGGAGGTCCCCTAGGAGGCGTCACTGGGGGTTGGTAACAGAAAGAGCACTTCGACATCCTGCTGGGAAGTAGCTGTGGGCACTTGGGGTGGGCCTAGCAGGGAAGATCCATTCTGGGTTTCTTCTGTGTGTGTATATGTGTGTGTGTTTGTGTGTGAGAGAGAGAGAGAGAAGGAGAGAGAGAAGATAGGGTGGATGGGAGCACAGGCAGTATCATTCCCATGGGTCTCACTGTCCCCCAGCACACCGCAGTCATCGCCATTGGCACCGTCCGTTTGTCCTCACTTGGAACTGGGGGCAGTTTGCTATCCTTCAGCTCCTTCCTCAGCCCTACTCTCCTTTAGCAGGAGTGCACCCTGTGCTCACAGCACCTGAGGGCTTGCCCACAGCGAGACCTGCTTCTTCCCTGAGGCTAGCCCCCCACTCCCTTCCCCAAATGGCAACACTTGCCTCTCACTTAGCACACAGGGCCCAGAGCGGCCTGCAGGGCACAGCCACCAGTCTTCCCTTTACAATCTCTGCTCAGCCTCAATGCCCTGACACATCTGTGTTGGGGCTTGCTAGCTGTGAGGGGTAGTGCTGGGTGATGCAGGGAGCCAGATGCCGGAAATGCTAAGCCCTTCCTCTGCTCCCCAGTTAAGACTCCTGAGACTTAACACCATCCGGCCAGGACACCACTGCAAGCTTGGTCAGGGTTTCCCATGGGACACAAAGCCCACACTATGGCCAGAAAAGAAGGGTTTCTGGTGCTGGCCGACCGAGGTGGCGGCTGCTTAGCAGCATGGCTCCCTGCCTCAGCTCCAGCCCTCCTTCTGTGTGTGACAGTGGCCAGTGCCATCACCTCTCTGGGTCCCTGCAGTGCTGAGAGGGTCCAAGAATGTGGAGCACAGGCATGTGTGGCCCAGGCCTGGTGTGGAGACCCTCTGTGTTCACAGTTCCTCAGCCCCACTCTGTGAGTCTTCCAACACTCTGAGGTGCCCACGCAGATCTGCTGCTGCTCACAGCCAGGAGAGAAGATACATTGGAAAGACGGGCTCAGAGTCCTTCTGCTCAGCTCTTGGGGCAGCGGGGCTGTGGGCTCAAGAGGCAATCTTGAATACTTGGGCTGAGTAGGGTTGTGGCCCCACCCCGGGGTCTTCCCAGGAGACATCCCTCTCTTCTGATTACAAAACTGATGGTGGACTTGAGAGCTCCATACACTTGCTCCAAACTGATTCGTTGCATTTTGGATTTTTAAAAACATTCATAAAGTTATTCACCCTTATGGGTGGGAGGAACTATAACCCAGGATGTCTGATAAATGCAAAAGATGGCTGCCATTACACCCACCGCCACCAGCCCATTGCACCCACCTAACACCAGGCCTGGTGAGAAGGACCTACCCTGGCCCAACCTCCTGCAGGAGTCAAGAGTAGACCTAGCATGCACAGCTGGACCTGTCCACCATTTCAGCACACAATTCTCTAGAACCTTCTCTGTACAGAGCATCAGAGAACCTGTAGAAGAGGCCTGGCTCGAAGAGACCATAACAGTCCCTGGGAGGGGGACATTGGCTTTACACAATGACCTTTAACCCAGCTGCAGCACCCTGTCACAGACAGACCTGGTCCCACTGCTGTGCAAGGAGGGAACAGTATGAGTAAGTTCTGCAGTTGTGACACCCCCACGGCAGCCACAGCCACAGAGGCCACACAGCACCTGCAAATGGCCTGAGGCATCAACAGAGATACCTGAATTTCCTAGACTTGGTCCAGGGAAATCGTGTGATCCTAATCACTGTTACATCAATTTTATAGTCAGAAGGCAAAGTCAGAGAAAGCAGATCAAGCTTTCTCCAGCATGCATTTCCAGAGTCCATGGGCCCAATACTGGGGTTTTAAAGCCCCTGGGGGTATCAGGAGCCACAGCTCTTGGGCATGAACACCCACTTCACTGATGAAATAACTGAGTTCTGGTGTGGGTCATCTGAGAGCCATACTGCAGCCTCGCTGGTCTCTCAGGAAGGTCTGGCAAGCCTGGCCCTCCTCTGCAGCCCTGCTTGGCCGCGCATGTGGCTTTAACTCAGCTATCACACATAGGTGCCTCTCCCCTCCTCAGCACCTTCAACCTCCCAAGGGGTTTACGGCGTGAGCATGCACTCTTGGACTCACACCATCCTCCAGACCCAGCTGCCACTGAGGAACAGCTTGGGAGTAGGCCCTGCGATGGTGCAGAGCTCAGCCTGCCTTGGCTGCACCACTCAAGCTCTCCTGAGTGCAGTGAATTCCGCCTCTGTGTCCTGCCCGCATGCGAGGTGCTCAGGATCAAATATGGTGCACTGAGTTGAGCTGTACCCCTTGCCTTAAAGAGGTGACAGAAGATGTGGGCTTGTGGACTCTGGAGTCAGGTCCCTGAAGAGTAAGGGTACTGGCCTATGTAAGGGAAGGCCCAGAGGGGGTGTGTAGTGTGTAGATGGGGCCGTGCACCTGAGAAATACTACTTTGGACAGGTTTGGTTGGGTCTAAGGAGGCTCAGGCTAGTGAAACCATCTGCAACTTGCTCAGCTCTAATCTCCCAGTGGCTCCAAGACACTCCCTGGGATGAGCCCAGCATGGATGCCAGGGAGCCTCCCAGCTGCTGCAAGGGAACTCTCCGTGCCTGCTTTGTGCCTGAAGTCGTGTGGGGACCCTCTTTCCCTAACGAATGTCCCCTGTTTCTTTTTCTCTTCTTAAAGATTTATTTACTTACTTGAAAGGTAGAGTTAGAGTGCACATACTCCCCAAGCAGCCTCACCAGCCAGGAGCCAGGAACTGCAGCCAGGTCTCCCACATGGGTACAGGGATCCAGGTGTCTGGGCCGTCCTCTGCTGGTTCCCTGGGTGCATTAGCAGGGAGCTGGATTAAAAGTGGAGTCTCTGGGCCCATAAGCCCAGAGCAGGAGGCACATGGGTCAAGTTCCACCTCCAGGTTCGAGTGTCATCCAACATTGCCAGTTTACAGTCCTGCCAGCTGTGTGCTCTTGATGTCCTGTGTTGGGTTTCCCTCTACCCAAAGCGTCTGAGCAGGGGTCTGAGGATCCAAACTCAGTCTCACCCCAAAGTTCAGCTTGAATGTTCTCTGAATTAAGATGCACGTGTCTGGAAGAATACATGAGGCTGTTACCTCTGCAGTCATAAGAGCTTACAGACAATTGTAGTTGTCTTAAGTCATCAGAGTCAACACTGGCGGATGTGGCAGTGCCTTTATTGTAACTTCTTGGAGTGATGGGGTTATGTGGCTGGGAGTGGGGTTTGCTCAGCAGGTGGCTCCTGGATATCAACATCCTATTAATAAAGATTCTTTCTCATATCGCATGGAAATGTAAAGCAGCTTATGACTCATGGGGCTTCAAATATGCAGATCCAGTTCCCCTGAAATCCCGAGTGGGAAGACATTAGGCTGCTTTCCCAAGGAAGGTTCTATCGCCATGCTGCCATTTGGGGTGTAGTGTGTGTGTGTGTGTGTGTGTTAGAGAGAGACTGAGAAAGACAGAGAGTGCATTCAAGGGGTGGGTGTGATGGAGGTGAGATGGGGAGAGAGGCAAGATGCTGATTTATTGCTTTAAATTCAAGATCTGGAAGTAGTGATGCTCAACCACACTGCTGTCACGGAGACTTGGAGGTTAGCCTGGCCGTGGGAAGGCACATCGCTGGAGCCCAAGGTGCAGCACCTTGGACTTGGGATCTGAGTCCTGGCTTTCCAGTGTCCAGGCCATAAGGCGTTGGCAGAACTCTTCCTGCATTCCATCTCCGAAGGGTGGGGATCAATGTGCTCGCCAGGACACAGTCATCCAGACCTTGAGCCTGCGGGCTCCCCCAGGAGGTGCTGGACTGCTATTCCTGCTTCTGCTCTCACCCCCAGAACTGAATTTGTTGGAGTTTCCACATGGAGCAAGGTTAGGATATTGATAACCTACCCCCTGGGAGCCAGGGTTGATGGGTAGAGTGTGCAGTCCCTGTAGGCAAGGGGGACATCAGATGACTTTTTGTCTTTATCGTCATCCAAAGATCCACATCAGGGACTTTCTGGCAAGAGAAGTCCCCAACAAATACCTGAACATGGGTGCAGAGACACCAGCAGGCCCATCAGACGTGGAGGAACGTGGTCTGTGGTCTTCACTCCATGTCTCATAAGAAAAATGCACACCTCTGCACTTTACTCCTGGCTCATCCACACACAGTGCCCCCCACCAACACACAATACCCTGTAACCCCTTTCCTGCCACACGCTGGGAACCCCCTGCCTGCAACCTGGGCTGGGCCATCCAGACACAACTGGCATCTTCTGGCACGCAACACCCCTGTCCAACAGTGGAAATGACCGATCCCAGAAGAGCAGAACCTGGTGAGAGAAGAGGGGTAGGATTATTCCAAAAGGAACCTCATGGTCAACTAGACACTCCCAGGTCTGGCATGAGAAAGCAGCTGTTGTGGTACCACAGGAAGTCTTCCCTCTCCTCAGTGAATATTGTAAACAAATGGGGGCCTGGACAGTAAGAGCTAGTGTAGACCAATGCCAGCATGACAGGTACACAGGGCCCATATGCACAGAGAAAACCAGAGATGGGCCCAAGGCAGGCAGCCACAACCACAACCACTCATGGCCCCTACGAGTGTTGGAAGTGGCCACATGAGGGTCACCCAAAACAGCTCTGCATGGAGGTCCTGACAAAGGCCCAACTCTGTAACTACCAGAGGCCCTGCACAGGGGTCAACACCCCAAGTTCTGGTAGCAAGACTGACCGCATAGTATGACGACTCTTGGAAGCGGAAAGGAACCTGGAGCGCCTCATCCACCCTGCAGTGCTTGTACTTAGTGCCACCGTGGCCTCCAGCTGGGACAGAAACTGTAGTTAGGTGAACAGGTGTTTGCTGCAAGAAGGAGGTAACACGGTCCTCATCCTGTGGGAGCACTGGAAGATGACAGCTTGCACACCCTCCGGCCCTCAACTGGGAATTCTGCTGCTGCACCCCAGAGCTGAGATCTCACATGGAATCTCTGAGATGTGATTGATTTTTTTCCTCTATCTCCTAAATGCTGAGTTGTTTTATTCTATGAAATCAAAAAGAACCTGCCAATTTTTGATGTAGCTGGATAATTGGCTGCTATTTTGTTCTGTTCATAAATCCTTTGGCAAGACACCAACATGTTATGACTGAATTTTTGCCATCCATGCAAGACCAGACATTTTGGAAAAGCGGGTTGGCATCTTGCAGCAACAATATGTTGGTGTTAAGTGAACTCATTGTTGTTATTGTTAGGTATGAATGCTAAATTCAGACTTTTGTCCCAGTAAATTCATCACTTCTCAAAATAGCTTTCCTAAAAGGACAGATTTCCCCAGTGCTGACAGCTCCATTTTCCCTAAGCAGCTTCTCAGTGGTGTGGGAAGAATCAGCTATAGCCCCCTGAGGGTACCAGGGCAAGGGCAGAGAGCTGTGCTGCCAATGGGAAGGCAAAAGCAGGGACCTCAGAATAGACTCCTTGGGGAGTCAGGAGGGAGGCATCTCCAGGGCGGACCACAGCTCACCAGCCTTCTCGGCTCACTCTGCAGCCTGCCATCCCAAAAATGCTTCAGGGGAATCAGCTGATGTTGGCAACACAGAGGGATGGCGCAAGCATGATTCTTTTCACACCTTGGCCCTGATGTTGGCAACTCACTGTGCAGAGCCACGCCTACTGTCTGTTCTGTAGGCACTCAGATAGAACACAGGTGGAGCACAGGGGCCAGACTGGCCCAGCCTCAGTTTCCTCATTTGATGGACAGTGGGTGGCAGGGAGGGGTGATGGATGACCACCAAGCTCTCACCTGGCACTGTGAAACTTCCTGCTAATTGTGGACAACATCTGATTTTGGCCAAGGGTGTTGTGTGCCCTGGAAGAGGGGATGATGGGAGTTGGCTGGTGATGCAGGAAATCCTAGGCACAGCAGGGCTTCTGCCATCCTCACAGCCTGATAGCAGTTCCAATGTGGGGTACCAGGAGGATTCTAAGAACAGGGCCCATTTGGCACATGGACTGTGGCTTGGCTTGCCTCTCTTTCGTTACTGCTATCTGCCAAGACCAAAGAATCCCACAGCTGGGAGGAAGCCATCAAAGTCTTTGTAGAGGATTGGCAACAATGTTCTTCTTCCCAGGCAGCTCACTTAGGGGACAGAGCCAGGACTGGGCGCAGGACTCAGGCGGACTATCCCAGAGATAACTTTACTCAGGGCTGCTGCTGAGGTGTAGTTGCAGTGCTGGCATTTCAAATGGGCACCAGTTCGAGCCCCACCCCTTTTACTTCTCATCCAACTCCCTGCTAGTGTGCTTGGAAGAGCGGTGGAGGGTGGGAGACCCAGATGAAGCCACAGCCTGGCCCATGTCTGGCTGTTGCAGCATTCAGGGAGTGAACAGCAGACCGAAGACGTCTATCGTTTCTTCCCCCTCTCTGTAACTCTGCCTTTCAAATAAAAACAATACATTTAGTAAAATGAGCTTATTCAACCTCCCGTTTTCCGTGTAAGACACTTAGATCCCAAGGTGAGAAAACTTGTCCAGCATCACAGGGTGGGAGAGCAGCTGTCCCGGAACCAATGCCAGACGCCATCAGTTATCCACTGATTTTAGTTAACCTTGGGTGTCAGGAACAGACTGACCTAGGTTCAAGCTTTGCCTTTATAACTAACCAGCCAAGTGACCTTGGACAATAGATTTAACCTCCTGGGTTTAACCTCTAGGATCCCACTGGTAAAATGGAGGCAGTGGATTTGCAAGTGTTAACCAGTTCTTACATGTAAAGTGCTGAGTCAGCACAGCACGAAGTGTGTGCCTGGTGAACCTGTACTTACTCAGCATTGCTATAAATCACTGCTGTTGCTAAGGTCAGGAAGCAGCTGGGGCACAGACTGGAGGCTCCTCCCTGGCTCCCCTGGCTCCTTCGGTAACAGCTCCCCTCTCTCCACAGGATGGTAGAGCTCTTCTCCACGGTGCCCATCAGCTCGCACTGGGGGGTGTTGACCAAGTGCTTGGCCTACAGCAAGGCCGCGTCCGACCCATTTGTGTACTCCTTGCTGCGACACCAATACCGCAAGACCTGCAAAGAGATTCTGAACAGGATCCTCCACAGACGTGCCATCCGTTCCTCGGGCCTCGCAGGTGACTCTCACAGCCAGAACACGCTGCCGCTGTCCGAGTGAAGGAGCGGGACCCTGCAGGGGAATGAGGCCACAGTAGGGAGGGCGGGGGGCTGCTGGGCGGACACCACTCCCTACCAACCTCCCTACAAGCTCGATGGTTCTGCTTGCTGGCTTTGGCAGGGAACTGCTTCCTGGCTCCTGTGGGCAGTTGCTGGACTGCTCCCTTTCTCACCAAAGGATGCCCCTGTGCTCTGCCCTGACTGGAACAGCAAGGACTCAGCAGAGGCTGCCCAGAGGCTGGCACTCAGTCCCATCACCTCTGTCCAGGACACACAGTGCTGGTGGCAGGTGGGAAACATGGTGGTCCATGCTTGCTGACCACTGTGGGTGGGGCTCCTTGGGTTGGCCTCCCGGAGTCACTGCTGGATCATACTCAGGCCAGTGGTGGGCCCCAGATATAGTATGGTGGCTCTTTGCTACATGTTAGTAGTAACTGTTTCAACCTAAGTACCATCCCTCTGGTACCTACGAATCATTGTCGCTCCCCATTTGTGACTGGAATTTGTAGGTAGCATCTCACTTTGTCTGGCACACCGGGTGGGATGGACGGGTAAGATTCGAAGCTTTGGTTCTAGTGTCCTGATGCTTGATATCTGAACAGTTTCTGAAAGTATCAGCATAGAGGCTCCCAAGGCTATCAGGAGAGTGCCCAATGTGAGCAAAGTGAGGGTGAGATTTTTTTTAAAGGGTTATTTACTTTCATTTAAAGGCAGATTTTACAGAGAGAGGAGAGTTAGAGAAGGTCTTCCGTCTATTGGTTTACTCCCCAAATTGTTGCAATGGCCAGAGCTGAGCTGATCCAAAGCTGAGAGCCAGGAGATTTTTCTGGATCTCCCATGTGGGTGCAGGTTCCCAAGGACTTGGGCCATCCTCCATTGCTTTTCCTGGCCATTAGCAGGGAGATGGATTGAGAGCAGCCTGTATGAGCTGCAGGTACCACAGGGAGGAGGATTAGCCTGATGTACCACAACATTGGCCCAAGAATGAGATTTTGTAGTGTGCTGGAACTGTGAGACACACAGCTTCCGTGTTCCCATCATGCTCTCTGCCCACCCCATCTTTGTTCATCATTTCATTTCCCAGTGACTTGTGAATGCCAAAAGAAGTCATTCCTCAGCTCTTAACTCAAGGATTCCTCTGGTATGGAGAGGATGGAAAGGGAGGAAGCCCAAGGCCACTTCTCCTCTCCCAGCTCTGCAGGAGTGCAAGGGAAGATGTGGCTCAACTGGGCAATCGGGAAGAGTCTGTTGGCTTGCACTTCCAGGTATCCCTGCATTTGCAGATAGAGGAGCATCTTTGTGTCTCCTTAGAAAGATGCCGTCTGAGGAACCTGCAGCTCCCTGTTGAGACAACAGCTCAGCCTGGCCCTGTCTCATTTCATGTTTCCGTGGAGACTGGGACATAGGCATGTAAGAGCTACTACAGGTGGCATTGAGACCTGCGGGTCTCACATTTTGGGGAAGTCTGCGGGTGCGCCCCTTTTCGTGTCTGAGTTAGTAACTTGCAATCAGCAGTGGCAGGAGTTTTTATACCATGAAGATCAGTAAAAACTCTTAAGTCAGGACTTTCTCCAACCCAGAGGCAATTAGTTGCTAAGACCTAGCAGGCCAGGCCCTCAGAGTGAGCTGGTGGTTAAAGCTACACTGACATCCCACTGCCAGGTGTGACTTTGCGTGTTCTGGTTCAGAGCCCAGTGGACCACTCAAGTTCAAATGATGACAGACATTCACTTGTGTGCAGTCTGCCGGATGACAAGCTGTGCCTCCTCCGGGGTTTCCACACACCAAAAGTTCTGCCGCAATTGCAAACCAGAAGTCAAGGTCTTGCTCATGACAGTGTGAGGTGAGTGGACAGGTGAGTGGGTAGCAGCATCAGTGTGGCAGAGTGGCTGGGGCCCATTTCTGCCGGGCCGGTCTGCTCATGCCACACCTTGCTGTCCCAGGAACTCCTGGACCTCTTCTCCCACTGCCTGAGGGGGGAAATGCAAACAATTGCACAACACCCGCATCTTGAAAAGATACATTTCCTCATTTCCCTAAAATAGCTTATAAACCAATAAAACCAGTTCCGTCAGCACCATGGAAGCGGAAAATCTAGATAAGTCCTTTGATGGATTGAGGAGTTTCTTTATTTCCCAGACAAAGGCATTAAGACCCAAGGGGAAGTAAGAAGGAAATCACTGCATTAGTGGATCAACGTCAACCAACACTGCTCTAATTACTTTTAGATAAATGTTGGTATTTGTCTAGCACAGTCTAGAAAATTTGCCCCCAGCTTTCTTGTGCGCAGTTGAATAATCTACCTCATTTCAGTAATTTAATCCATCAAACATCACACCGTTTTCTCAGGTACAACACATTCAGACACCGAGACTCTTAGCACCTAAGTCAAAGATGTAAGGCAGTGCTTGGACTTCAGGCTAGCTTGGGGCTCCAAGAGCAAGAGCCAAATGCTGGTGAGGGTTTTCAACATTTTAAGGATGAGACCATTTTAAGGAGTTTGAAAGCAAAAGACCTCTGAATTTCAGAAGCCACGTACATGGAGGGCCCAGTTCCTTCCCCCTCTGTCACCAAGATTTGCTTTTTATTACCACTTTGACTAGCCCAGCTTTTCTGTAGGCCTCTGGAAGAAAGGGACCCCAGGGGGACAGTCCACTTGGTGAGTTTGGGCCTGTGGCTCATGGTTGGGGTCTCACCACCCACAGGGAGCCCACCTGCTTATGCTTAGATGCCAGGGTCGGGGAGAATGGCTCCTGGAACCACATCTCACCACTGTGTGCCCCTCTGGGCCCAGCTCAGATTCCCATCCTCATGAGCAATAAACCCATGGTACCTTCCTTTCCGAGAGAAGATGGTAAGAACGGGGTCAAGTGCTGGTCCTGATGGTCGCCCTCATGCCTGCTTGGCTGCAGTGGGTGGGCAGTGCTTCTGTCTGGCTGGAATGGCCCTCCATTGGAATAAAACCCAAGGGCAGGGGAAGTCCATCAGCCAAGTGTAAATGAGGGTGTTTCATCAGATGTCATAATTCTCTTGAGCCAGTTTGTGTCCTTTGAACTTTGAGTCCTGGGCACAGCACAGGGGTCCAGCAGTTAGAACAAGGCTCCGAAAGCTGACCCAGGGGATACTAAGGGAAGCGTCTCTCTAGGCAGGTGTCGATATCCCGTCTGCAGCTGGGGTAGGACAGGGAGCAATGCCTTTCCCACCGCCTGTGCCCAGAACAGCAGGTGAGTGGTCCTGACTCCTCGCTAAGGGGTTCTTAGTCACCTCCGTGACGAACCTGGAGACCTGGGGACTCGCATATAACCACATTTTAACAGTCGTACAAAGAATCTTTCCCTCATTCTGCAGAGTTCAACTTTCATTTCTCAATGGCTGCATCGTTTTGTTCTCAGAGAGACAAAAGTGAGCCTGTCAGTGAGATTGGGACTAGGCATGACCAGGCAGTGGGAGCTGCTCACCCTTTCCCCGAAGGCCTTTGCAAAGCAGCCACGTTCCTGTCTTGGGGCGCCCAGGGGTAGGCACAGGTGTTTTGAGAATGGAATGACTCTCCTCCAAGGCTCTAACTGCTGAAGTGTTTTTGGTGCTGAGGGTTTATTGCCACCTCAGTTTTCCCTGAAACACTGGGCCAGCAACACCCACAAGCACTTGTAGGAAACAGCATTTCCCTGGCCCTGATTGAATCACCTGCTGCTTTGCAGCCAGGAGCAAGTTCAGGACTCCAGGCTGAGCCAAACTTCGGAGGTCAGTTTGCTCCTCTGCCATGTCCATGGCCCTGGCTCTCTCCCATATCCAGGTAGCCTCTGTCATCTGACCCAGGCCAGTGCCCTCTGTTCTGCATATGGCTGAAGACTTGTCCTGGCCAAAGGTGGGTGGCGGGCACCCCAGGCTTGCAGCTGCTTCCGCAGCCCTTAGCATCTGGGATGTCAGGAACTCCTTGAGGTCTTCTTCCTCCACCATTAGCTGAAGGGCCAGGGAAATGCACTTTGGTGGACCAACTGCCTAGGCACAGGAGTTCCAGGTTGCAGGAAATGGAGCTGTACAACATCTCAGGGGTTCTGCCTCCGAGAATGGATCTGTGAGGGACCGTGGTGGTTTTGCTCAGCCAGACCCAGACATCACTGTGCACAGGCACAGACATGGTCTGCCCAGGAGTTCTAAAATGTAGCAGGTGGCAGCCAGAGGGTGCAAGGTGACAGGACTCACCTGCTGCTTCTCAGACATCCAGGAAACACCTTGTGTACACCAGACGCTGGGCCATGCTGGGCTGCGAGGAGGGTGAGTGCCTGCTCTACAGTGGATGAGCTGGGCTGCCCCAGGTGTGCTCAGCCCCAGGGGCTGCTGGCAAGTTGCTAGAGGGCTTGACTGGTGGAAGAAGAGTGTTCTGGAAGGCATGGCAGTAGCAGGGAAGAGCATGTGGCAGGACGTATAGGAGATGGGTACCTGCCTGGTAGATGACGGCTTTGCCAGGGTCCAGGAGGGTGCCTGGGGATTCTGCGGCAGGAAATACTCCCTGAGGGAGGGTGAATGTGATCAATGGCCAGTGGGAGTGGACAGAAGTCCCGTGGCTGGGGCATGGAGGGACTCCACCTGTGTCTAGCTACTAGAAGAGGGAAGGGAGGAGAGGGAAATAGAGAAGGGTGCAATGACGTGCATCCACTTTGCAGAGCATCTACATCCAGGTTTAAAGGCACAGTTTATTCTTAAAAGACCAACCACGCTTGGCCAAGGGACTCTCTCTGACTATACCCTGGTGGGGACAAGTGCATGTCTGGGAGGGTTATACATGAATGTCAGTGCAGGGTCTCAGTGGCCACTGCTACCTCTCCTGGGAACAGAAGTGTTGGCAAAGCTGTGCTCACACTGCTTAGCAATTCAACGCCCACGTCCAACGCCAGGCACTGGCTCCTCCCTCGTACCACGTGTCCTGTAAATATGTATCCAGCATTTGCAGACCAGAGGTTACAACTGTCTCAGCAGCGCTCTGGTATACCCACATTTAAG